CTTGCACGAAATATTTTTTTTTGTTATTCCTACAATTCTGGCACACTGAATTTTTTTAATTTTTTGAACTTGTACATGGAATACGAAACACCAAGTCATTGGATATTTTGAGATCTTAGACTTACTTAAATTAAGCAAGTGTTAAATTTTAACGTTTAATGGATATGAATATCTTCACAATAATACTTGTTCAACCTGGAGATCTTTTGCATACTTCCTGACCGACCTGCCATCTTGAGAGAGCCAATTGAATTTTTGACCAGTTTAAGATCTTCATGGAAGATCTTCTTCTTCTTCGCATTTCAAGCTTATTGCATATCGCATATTAGCTTATTGCGTGCTCTCAACTTAGTGTTCTAGATGCACTTCTACAGTTATTAATTGAGAGCTTTCGATGTCTGTACCATTTTTGCATTGGTATAATTGTGTGACAAGTCCAATCATACTTCTATGCCCGGGGAAGTCGAGAAATTTTCCAACCCGAAAAAATCCTAGACCGGACCGGGAATTGAACCCAGCCACCTCCAGCATGGCCTTGCTTTGTAGCTGCGCATTTGCCAACTGAGCTAAGGGAGGCCCTCCAGGAAGATCGATTAACCCTAATTCACTAATATCTGATCCATCAGCAATCTTGAGAGACTATCTGGAGACGTCATTTTAATGTTATGAACAAGGCAATATCTTAAGAATAATAATTGATCAACCTGAAGGCTTGTAAAATATCCAGAGAGCTTTAAATCTCTGATCAGCTGTATATCCTTTAAATACTCTCTAATCAAACTTCCGTCTTGGAAGGATATCCGAAAGACGTCATTTGATTTTTTAAACAGTTGCAGATCTCCAGAACATAACTTGATTAACTTGAAAAGTCTTGCATAATATCCAGAGAACTTTATTGATATCTCATAGAAAATCCGTGAACATCAACAAAGTCATCGACCATTCTACGACGCTTCCTGAACTGCTACGAATATTCCTGTACTTTCAAGAAGTTTCTTGAACTTAAACTCAGTTACATGAACTCAAAGACTCTATGAAGTTCCTAGAATACCCAAGTAACAATTTTGGTTTTATGAAGGTTCTGTAGACCATGATTTAGGCTTTTAGAATGCTATAAAACCTCGATAAAACTTGCAATGTTACTTGGGTATGTTGAATGTTCGACGAACTCCTGACATTTTTCGTCAACTTTCACGAAGTTCCCAGTACTTCAAAGATTTTTCCTTAGCTTACAACTTTTAATTTTTCGATAGCTACAACTGAATTTCTGCCAAGCTTGCTGAACTTGTATCAATTTCCTATAATTCATCATCTACAATGTTCCCTTAACTTTTAAAAAAATATCTTAACTTCTTAAGATCCATAATTTTTTTATCCGTACTTCCAGAAAGAACCTGATTCTTTTCTAGGAATTCACCTGAACATATTGGCGAAACGAAGCTCCCAAAGTTACACAGTTCCCTAAACTGATCCGAAGATCCTTAAAGTTCTAAGAAGTTTAATGAATTTCTACGTTATTTCCTGAGCATCTAAGCAATGTCCTGAGATTATAGGAAATTTCCTAGACTTCTTCTAAGTTCCTTGATCTTTAACAAAATTTCCTTCTAAAAAGATCACTTCACTTTTGAGAATTTCGATGATTTTCTGCGAAGTTCCTGAACCTCTACAGAATTCCTTAAACTAACAAAAATAATTAACCAAGTGTCCTGTAATTGAGAGAAGGTCGTGGAACACTTTTATGAAGTTTCCGGAAATGAACCAAGGTTCCCTAAACTTCAACAAAGTTCCCCAAACAGGAGTTCCCACTTCTATGATGTTTTCCCGAATTTAAACAAAGCTGTCTGAGCCTCTGCGACATTCCCGAAAGCTCTATGAAGTTCTCCGAATTTCTCTTAAATTTCCTGAATAGCTACGCTGTCTCTTCAACATCGATAAAGTTGCTGAAATTTTACGAACTTCGATGGAATTAAAGAAAAATTCCTACACTTCAAATGAAGCTCCCCGAGTTTCTAAAAGATTATCGAAATTTCTTTAGAGTTCGCTAAATTTCTATAAAATTTGCTGAAATTCAACAATTTTTTTTTAATTTGTAGATTTGTTTTCCGTACTGAATACCAATGCTACCGCAGCCAAGGAGCCAGCTTCCAAACCTGGACCCTACCCATCGACCCATCAACTCATGGATAGGGGACCAAGGGCTTTACCTCCCTTGAGTGGCGTTTCCTTAACCTCAATCTACCTGTGCACCAACTCTCAAAACGTAAAAATTGTCAAAATATTGCAAGCTCCTTTAACTTTAAATATAAGACATCAATAATGTATAAAGAAAATGATAACTCGGCTCTGTAAAGTTTATTCGATTGAGCCTGTACAAATGAAGTAATTAATAAAAAAATCAAAATATTGCTTGCAATGGATAGATATCGAGTAAATTAGAAGATTAAGTGTATTTTTCAACCGATTCGAGTATGAATGTGGCATTAAATCTAGTTTTGAAAGTTGGTGCACAGGTAAAAAGTGAGGTTACGGGACGCCACTGCCTCCCTTACTAGCCTACTACCCGAAACAATGCGTGATCAGAAATGTTATGCCTCAGACAACCCCGACGGCGCCGACTGGGATTGAAATCAGGCCCTTTGGAGCAAGAGGTAGTCACGTTTTCCTCCAACAAACTTATCTGCACTTCTACGAAGTTCAACGAAGTTGTACAAAATTCATTGAGCATTCTCAAAGTTAACTGAACTCCTATTTGTAGTACTTCTAAAAAACATTCATAATTCCAATAACTTTCACGAAGTTGTTTAATGTTCAACGAAGTATCCTGACGATCTAGGAAGTTCCTTGAAGTTCTACAACAGTTCCCCGAAATTCTATGAAGCTCTCTTAAATCGAATGAGTGGCTCTTGATTTCTAACATCATGTGATGTGATGATGTTTGACAGCCAAATTTCGCAATAGTTTACGAAGATCATGATGATTATCGTGGATGATTTCTGTTATGAATGTAGTTGTAAAAACTATTTTGCCGTGCTCTAGGATTACACAGATTGGATAACCCCTTAGAATAATGCCTACATGTGAACGGAAGGAATGATTAGGGAATAACAGAGAGGTAGAGCTATGGAAGCCAAGATAGAAATCGGAGACAGATAGAAGTTTCTCCGGAAGGAGTAAGCATTTTACGAGGTTCCGCTAGCTTATCTAAGGAAGGACTCTAAAAACTGCAAATGCTGAGTATTTGCTTCACTCTAGACTAACTTAATAAAGTACTGTCGATTAACTATGAATGATGAACATGTCACCTCCCTTAGCTCAGTCGGTAAAGGCGCAGCTACAAAGCAAGACCATGCTGGAGGTGGCTGGGTTCGATTCCCGGTCCGGTCTAGGAATTTTTCGGGTTGGAAAATTTCTCGACTTCCCTGGGCATAGAGTATGATTGTACTTGCCACACAATTATACTAATGCAGAAATGGTACAGGCATCGAAAGCTCTCAATTAATAACTGTGGAAGTGCATCTAGAACACTAAGTTGAGAGCACGCAATAAGCTAATATGCGATATGCAATAAGCTTGAAATGCGAAGAAGAAGAAGAAGAAGATGAACATGTCACGACGTTTAACCTGATTTTCCGATATTTAAAAAAAAATTAAAGGAGTAAAAGTTTCTCAAATTAAAAATCCCGGGATGCACGGGATCCCGGGATTTATAAACTTATATACCCGGGATTCGGGAATCCCGGGAAAGTAAAAAAACCAGGATTTTTCATCTCGGGATGGAAGCTTTACCCATAACCTTAAACAATCTAAAACTAGAATCAATTCCCGATATAACGGAAGCTGTTTCATCAAAATCGGTTCAGAAATGATGAAACAAGAGCAATATCTAATTTTTAGACTAAATAGCCTAGACAGAAAATTTAGAAACTTAAGGGGGTATTCCCGATCTTTTTTTTCAAAAAATCAAATTTTTTTTTCACGTTTTTTTGTACTTTAGACTATATACTTTCATCCCCCCAAGCCGTTTTCCGATCAGCGAATTCGGTGTCCAGGCATAGCTGACTAATGGTAAGAACCCCCAAATGGTTTTAACTAAAGTCAAAACTTTAAACGCGTTTTTCTCGAAACCACATTTTTTTTATCGGGCGAAGATTTTTCTCAGAAACTATAAGAGATATTGACTTGAATCTTTGCGCATTTTGTTTCTTATTAAATTCTTTGGAGCTTCTCCCACTTTCAGCCAAAAATATTAACATTTAACATTGTTTGAAGCACCTTAAAGCTGCAAAAAAGCGGGCTAAAAATCGCCTGTTTTTTCATATGGCCGCCATTTTGTTAATTTGCTAGATTTTTTGCTGCCAACGGGAGAAGCTCCAGAGAATCTTATGCAGATTATTATTTCATCACGAAATCTGTTTCAGATGAAGCCGTTCCAGAGAAAAGTCTTCGCCCGTCCAGGCGTTTGCGGCGAACAGGGGTCTGTTTGCCGCCATTTTGTGACGTCAATAATGTCTTTTTTTATGTCGAAAAAAATTTATTTGTAAACTTTAATGTTAAATAAACAAGAATCCCAAAGAGTTAGGCGCATTACTATTCATTTTCCTTGAAAAAAAAATAATTGAAAAACAGGCCGAAAAAAGGCAAAAGATTGGGAATACCCCCTTAATTTATTAGCCCCTTGAGACAACGAGGGGCAAACTGGGACCCATTAATTTGAAAAGTCGAGATGATCTCCCATGTGACCTTTTGGAATTGTTTCAGTATTTTGTTCAGGCTGCATTTATAGAATATTGGTTTTACATACCATTAAACCTATGTATATCATAAACATTTTTTCATAGTTTAAAGTTGTTTACTGCCCTTCAAAATGAAACCTGTTGTGATAAAATCGGTTCAAAATTGAATGTGTAATAGGTATTTTAAGAGAGCCTTAAATTTGTGGTTTTTGAACATACAAATCAGCAAAACACAATTTTTAGAGCCGGAGATCACCAGAGATGACCGCTGAGAAAAGAGACATTTTAATTTTTTTTTAAATAATGATTTTTTTACGAACCAATCAAACATCAAACACAACCCCATCAAGTTTGAAAATCACCGAAGGAAAATGGAAATTTGCCGCAGCAGTCTGTTTTCGGTGCGGAAGGTAGGTTTCATTGTCTCCGATGTTAACGTTAGGCAAGCAAAAAATGCTTTTGTCATAGGATGTCCTCGTTTGCCTACATAATGTCGAGTATAGAATACCGGATAAAGTGCCATAGATGACACACACACACACACTCACAAGCACGCATTCAGATTATGACAAAAATGCTTTTTCGTTTCGATGTCTTCTGTTCGGAACTGCTGAAATGGGGAAAAGGCAATTGCCTGGAAAATTTATGAAACAATAGCAAACTGTCGGTTCGTGATCGATTTAGAGGTTAGAAAATTGTACGCTCAATTTCTGCCCAGTCCCCAAATATAAAACCGAAGATAGACCAAGTATGCACCCCACACAATGCGAAGTATCTTGACGTTCGTGACCAATCATCATGTCGGTGACATAATCGGAGAATATACCTCTTCTTAGCCTTGACCACGGGTTTGAAGGCGGACATGGCCGCCGCCGAGATGCTCTTCGGGTTGGTTGGACGAAGCAGTGGGACCAGATAGCCGGCCGAGCTCGGTACCATACCGGGGAAGTGACCGATTCCGTTGAACGCAAACGGTTGCAGGCAGGACAGTTTGAAGCCGAAGCTGGCGGCTGCCGCTGCGGAATTGGCTGCGACGACTGCCGCTGCGTTCGATGGAGCCACCGGATTGGCCGAAGAGCTGGAAATGGCTGCGCTCGGCTGCGACAGCAGATGCGGGATGTGAGCAAACGGGCTGGTACTGCTACTGCAGCTATCGCTGTTGAGATGCGATTCCGACGTGTCGGGAGCTTCTTGCTTGGTGACTACAGCGGTTGCCGCCGCAGTGGACAGGTCGCATATGGTTGATGTGACGGGCTCTTTGCCCGGATCTAGTAGAGCGGATGAAGGATCTGGGGCCGCGGCAGCAGCGCTGTATTTGCGAGCGGTTGATAGGATGTAGCGTTTCCGAGTTCCACCGTTGAACATGGCCTTGACGTCTTCCCAAGCGTAGGCAATTTTTTCCGGAGGCGATCCCGACAGCTTCAGATGACGTCTCCAGGAATTGAAGTTGGCTGCGTCCGGTTGGACGTACTTGTCGTGCGGAGTGAGCCGATGCGAGTGGAAGATGAACTTGTTCGGCGAGAAGAACAGATTGCAGTAGGTGCACTTGATGCACTTGGCTCGGGAACTGTTGTAGCGAGCTGGCGAGAAGGCTCCTACACAGCCCCAGGCGCATTCGTGGTACACGTTGAAGACGAATCCTTCCGGCAGGGCCGGTTGACTGCACTCTCCGAAGAATGACTTGCAGAGACGTTCCGCCTCGCGACGGGTGATCATCCCGCAGCGACGGGATGAGGCCGGCATGGCACCGGCTCGCCGCAAGATCTCCAACTGTACCGGAGTACACTGGATACAGGTGATTCCGAGGGCTACCCGCCGGTTGTGGATTTCGTTGTAGCTGAAGTCCTTGAGCAGAGTGCTGGAAATCTGCGCTAGGCAGAGCCGTTCCTGTTGTTCCACATACAGCGAGATGATCGGTTGACCGTAGATGTAAACGGTACGGATCTGTTACGGGAAGGAAACGAAACCGAGTAAGTTCCTCTTTGCAACAGTTACCTGAAACCTCTTATTAACGTGTTGCCCAACACGGACGGAGAGAAAACTTTGCCTGATTTGGCGCTAATGAGACTCAATTACCGAGCAGCAATCCCTAAGGTTAGACGCTTATTATAACCACCCCCAGCGTCAGCGTAATCAATATGGCAACAAAATTACAGACACGCCAAACAAGCAAAACAATCGTCAATTGGACGACGGTTTCCCTGTTGGATGTTGCTCAAACGGAATATGCGCCGGCAAACAGAAGCTTACGTGACATTTCGATTTTGTATTTCCACCATCATCATCACCACCACCATCACCACCACCCCACCCCCATCATTGTCACCATTAACCACCAAACGACGAGCCAACCAACCACATGTGCTTCACTTTTTAACATTTCCATTCCATTCAGTTTTATGACACAATTTGCTTACTCACTTACTTCTGCTGCTGATGGGTACCAGCAGGAAGAGAGAGGGTGGGTTTCGTTTGCAGCAAGTGTGTGTTTTGCTACGTGTGTTGTGACGCATTTTATGGGCTTCCCTCGAGTGATCATAAAAGAAAAACGGAAGAATACGGTTCAGCTGTGTGTATATTTATATTTGCATGTTGTTTTACACCCCCCTCCGAACCAGATTGGAGTCGATGTTCTTGAACTTGAAGCCGTTGCGTTTTACGACGATGACGGCGACCGGTACACAGCAGATGCAATGCGGAACTAATAAGTGTGAAAGGGGCGAAATATTTGGACAACCTGCGAAACATGTGCAATCCGTGCACTGCACGGGTTGTGAGAACTGTTTCACAGAAGAAGTTAACTGTAACTCGAATTAATTACCTAGACTCCTGGACAATATAAGTTTGAAAAAACTATACATTCCACTTTTGGATGTTACATTTTTGTATGACAACCTGTTCAACCCGTGCACTGCACGGGGCGTCCCTAGCATCTCAGAAGTACTTGAGCTTAGCAGTTTTGCTCACTTCAAATTTATTTTTTTAATAGATTCATTGTGCAAGCTATGTTGTGAACAGTTTAACCTTTCACAGCCAAAATGGGTTGACATTTTAGAAGGAACGGTACATGACCTTTGGAGCAACTTAAGGTGAAAGGTGACGTCATTAATTTTCAAAAATTCGAAAGAAGTTTTTCCGTTCAAAACCAAAATTACGTTCATGAAAATGTGTTCATTGCATTTTACTAGCTTACCGGAACACAGTGAACACATTTTCATTGACACAATTTCGGTTTTAAACGAAAAAAAAACTGCTATTGTGTTTTCAAAAACTAATTGCGTCCTCTTGCCCCTTAAATGCTACTGAAAGTCCAAAATTTTCATCAGAATATTGATCATTTCTTTGATGGGTTTTGTTAAAAGATAGTAACTTTCAATATGACTTAAATTGATTGATCGATTCACCCCAATTAGCGCAATAATTTCATTGTGATAAGGTAACTGTGCTAGTTTTTGACAATATCTTATATTTCCGTTTTTTTTTTTCATTATATACTAAACTAATTTCGATCCAAGCTTAGATTATGTATTTTGCAATATATCTATGCAAATAAAACATGGTGACCGGAAAATCTCGATTAGAAATTTCCTGATTTTTTCTCGGAATTTTATATACATTTAAATTATGCATAAAACCAAATGGGTATTTACTTTTAAAAAACAAAAAAAAAATACTATTTCTTAAAATGCTCAGAACTTTTTGCAGGATTTCTTTGGAATGTTCTCAAGAATTTCCTTTAGGCAAATTCACTATCATCTTCAGAACTTGGTTCTGAATCCTTTTAGGTGCTTTTTACTGTTAATGCAACAACTAGATCATTTGGCAAGAGCATAAAGCATGGCAGATCTAAAAACTTGTTTGAATATTAGAAGTTTATTCTTCAGGCAGAGTTTAGATTTTCGATTTACAATAGGATACAAACATTTTATATATTTGTTACATTTGCCTTGGATGTCCTCAATGTGATATTTAAAGTTAATTTTTGTTCTAGTACTAGTCCAAAATATTTCACTTGGTTTGACCGGAAAATTGGAACCCACAACCCAGTTCATGTAACTACTACTAGGTTTCAAAAAGGAAGCTCTAGGCTTATGTGGAATTATTATAAGTTGAGTATTGGAAGCGTTGGGAGAAATCTTCCATTTTTGTAAATAAGAATAGAAAATATCTAAACTATTCTGCAGTCTGCTGCAAATAACACGAAGACTTCTTCCTTTAGCGGGAATGCCTGTGTCATCGACGATCAAAGATTTGTGGCAACCCTGAGGTAAATCAGGGAAGTCCGAAGTGAAAATTCTATATAATATGGGCCCACGAATGCTACCTTGAGTAACTTCAGTTAGAACAGATAGTCGTTCAGATTTGGAATTCTGTTATTTACCTGTAGAGTTCTGTCAGTTAAATAGTTTTGAACTAGTTTCATAATATGGAGTGGAAAATTATACTTTTTCAATTTAGCAGTCATGCCAACCACTGTCGAATACTTTTTCTATGACTAGCAGAGCAACTCCAGTTGAGCAGCCTTCAGATTTGTTGGATCAAATTAAATAAGTAACTCTCAAGAGTTGATGAGAAGTGCCCAATGCCCTTGGCGAAATCCAAACTCATCTGCAAAAATTGAGTTCATTTTTATGTGAAGCATAATTCTATTCAACGGCCATTTGAAGTGAAAACTTGAATTTAACGAAGTTTAAAAGGTCCGTGGGAAGAGCATGGAAATCGGAAGTGGTCAGCACAATAGGGATAGGGGGACCTTTTGCTTGGCATTAAACCGGGAAAGTTTGTGGAATTTTGCCTGGATGATGGATCATTCTCATGAAAAATTGAATTTCATCAGACAGGGAATCAAGAAATTGCCCTTTTCTTTTGCATTTAGCTACCATGGCGGCAGAAAAACCGTTCTCCAAATCGACTTCCAAGCAGATTACTATAAGAATCCGATGTCCAAGCAGGATTGCCTCGGATAGGATTCAAACCAGGATCCAAGAGGTATAAGAGTCACTTGAATCGCTTGAGTGATCAAACTACAAGCCCGAGCTTATCTCTTTATTTATAACAATCCACTAATTCTGTGCAGAACACTCCAAAAATTCATAGATTTCACCCTAAGATGCTCATCAGATTTTTAATAATTCTTCCAAAAATTTACTGAAGCTGCCTGATTATGTTTAAAAATTCATTTAATTCTCCTGAAAATTCCCATGAAATTCACCTCAGAAATATGTCTTCTTGATTTACCCTTATAAGCATCCTCGAAATTCCCATATAACTCTTCTCAGAATGCCTTCGGGATTGTCTCGTCGAGATTTGATACCCTTGGTATATTTTTCGGAATTCCCTTGGAACTATCTTTAGAAATCACTTCAAATTACACAGAGAAACACGACTTTCTAGGACAGGCGGAAAATTTTATAATGATTAATTTTTTTACGGTCTACTGAGTTAAAGTCTAGAATATACTTTTGCCCTAAGAAATCACGATTTTAAGGTACCGCTGTCTTTAATGAGGTTGTACCGCCTTAAAAGCGTTAATACATCAGCTAGTTTGCCACATTTATGTAGGTGCTGCGCGTTTCCAAACCACTCCCAGGAAATTTACCAAAAATCACGTATCACATTCAGTGTGAATGATCCATAAAAAAATATCACTGTGATCTATATGTTGTATACAATTTAACACCACTATTGTAAAAATGTACCACTAAATTTGTAAATAATGAGCATTCAAATTGTACGAATTGCTCATAAATATATTGCGAATGATCCACAAAACGTTCACCATCTTCTTCTTCTTCTTCGCATTTCAAGCTTAAGCATATCGCATATTAGCTTATTGCGTGCTCTCAACTTAGTGTTGTAGATGCACTTCCACATTTATTAATTGAGAGCTTTCGATGCCTGTACCATTTTTGCATTGGTCTAATTATGTGGCAAGTCCAATCATACTTCTATGCCCAGGGAAGTCGAGAAATAATTTTCCAACCCGAAAAATTCATAGACCGGACCGGGAATCGAACCCAGAACTTGCTTTGTAGCTGCGCCTTTACCGACTGAGCTAAGGGAGGCCTCGTTCACCATAAACTAATGAAATTGATCCATAGAAAATATAAGAATGGTCCAAAAAAATGGGATTGAATTTACAATTTTATGCTCAGTTAGCAAAATCGGTCGCTACTAAGCCACCGAGCTCCTTTCATCACAACAAATCATTACGACTAAAACCTGGCTATTCAAATGGAATCGGGTGCACAACATATTTTTTTCCGGATTTTTATACAAACAGGTTGATTTCAGTAAAAGATGCGCTGGGAAAAAATTACGTCATTTTTTAAAGGAATAAAAAACCAGGAAAAGACCTCTATTCAAAAAACAAATCAAAATGCAAAAAATTGCTTATCCTCCAAGATCGCATTTATTGAATTATATTCCATATTTTCTTAAATCCTATTCCGTATAGGACTTTTGAGACCCGGACCAAGATTTGTTTTGCAAATCACAAGAGATTGTTTCAAGATGTTGAGGCTAGGCCGATTTTTCACTATTAACTTTTCGAAAGTTCAGACTTTAGAAATTCTCAAATAAAAAAATTAAGATCTCAGATATCAAAAAAAACATGACTCTTGTACTAACATTAAACTTAAGGATTTTAACACTTAACACTTAACTTTTGAAGAAATGTCTAGAGAATTGTGATCAGAATGCCAGAAGAGTTTTGGGGAGAATTTTAGTCCTCTACAATTCTCACTCTCTACTAGAGAGTCTATAGGAATAATTCTAAAGGAATACAGAGAACAATACCAAAGAAATGTGAAAATAAATTACAGGAAATTTTGAGAAGCATTTAAGGAATCCCAAGGTGGTTCAGAAGAGACTTTTTTAAGATTATGAGTAAAAGTCCACAGAATTCTGAAGCAACTCTGAAGAATTTTCAGGTGGCATTCTAAAGGAATTCGGGAGGAGTAGTCAAAGTAAATTAACCCTACTACAAACTTAATTATGATCAGGAACAATTCTGACACTACTCCTAATGATCACCTAGGCCTTAAATGTCAATCAATCATTCAATTAATAAAAAAGAATTCTAAGGAGAATTTCCAGGGATTCGATAATAATTCCAAAAGAATCTAATGATGAATATAGCTGAGAAAATAAAAAAGGGCCCGAATTTCAAACTGAAGATAATTTTAAGGGAATTTCTACAAGAATTCATAAGGATTTAAAAAAAAATAAAGAGATTTCCAAAAGGGTTTCAAA